ATAAAATAATCCCTACTCAAGTTTGTCACTTTAATTGGAAAAACTCTTTAACTCACAATGATCCATAATGACACATATCTTTGTGGGGGGTAAATTGGGGCGTGGCAGAGATTATTTGTATCGTTAAATACTTTATGTATTGATTATATTCATCAAGCTCATATTTCTGGGTTGTCTTTAGTTATGTAGCTTGAAAAGGATTCCAATCTCAATATGGGGTGATTGACACAAAGGGACTTTTTGGGGAGGTTTTAGTGGAATGTTCCCCAAATTACTGGTATTTAAAAAATGACTTCGGATTCGTACAAGCTCTTGAGGAATTTCTTTACCGGATTAAATTGTTCATGTCAGTCTACCAGATTGTTGTGCTATTGCTCTTCAGGAGTTTCTCTATCAGATTAAATTGTTCATCGAAGTCTACTGGATTGTCATGCTATTTCTCTTCAGGATTTCTCTACTAATCCGGTAAAGTTGATGCTATTATTACTCTACTATCTGTTAACTTGTTATTGGAGTTCACCAGATTGTCATACTTCTGTTCTTTAGGAATTTCTCTACCGGATCGGTAGAGTTTATGTTATATTTTATCTACCTATCTTTTAAGTTGTTTATCAAAGTTTACCAGATTGGTATACTTTTCTGAGTTGTTTTAACAAATTGTTCTTCGAATTTGCAACTTCAATTTCGATCAAACAATCCCAAATCTGATTCAAATGATCTCAAATTTGAAATTAAGATTTCAAATACCAACACAAATAATATCCAATCATGAATTTAGTCGAATAACACCAAATCAAAAGACCCACTTTGTCTTCTTCAACACTTTCTAAGGTGCAACAATAGAATTTAGAGATTTTTACAGTAAATCGCCAAAATCTATATTTGAACTAAAATTTTAAGCACAAATTATTAACATTCAAACGATTTAAAAAATAATCGATCATTAACTTTTATTTTTCACCATCAAACAAGAATTTCAAGTTTTAAAAATTAAAGAACTATAGTATTCAAGTAAAAAAGGGAAACATTTTGCTAAAATCATAAAAATGGGGTCATTCCGCCAATCCCAACTCTTTTGAGGGTTATATTAGCATTCTAATTTTTGCTCAATATGTTAACACCAATACCTGACTTCAAAATTGAATTGGTTGCATTGTTGCCTTGCCGATGCAGGCAGGGGATTTGCAGTCGTACCCTATATTTGTACCACCTTTTAACATGTACCCTATTTTTTAAAATTATTAATTTGGTAGCCATCTCACAAAAAATCCGTAATAATATGACAATTACACCCCTGACAAAAGATATAAAGGATCTCCTCCTCTCCTCTAGTAACTTTATAAAAAAATCAGAAACTTGTCCAGATTCATCTTCAGAATCACACTTGCATGAAGTTGTTTTACCTTGAAGCTAAAACTTCATGCTAATATAGCATGAAGTTGTTTCATGTTGAAACTAAAACTTCATGCTAATATAGCATGAAATTGTTTCACATTGAAGCTAAAACTTCATGCTAATGCATGTTGAAGTTATTTATCCTGCAGTCTACAGTTTTGTCATGCTAATACATGTTGAAGTTATTTATCCTGCAGTCTACAGTTTTGCCATGAATTTTATCCGAAACTTCAGTCTAAACATGCTGAAGTTATTTAGTTCATTTTGCTAAAACTTCAGACTAAATATGCTTAAGTTATTTAGTTCATTTGCTAAAACTTCAGACTAAACATGCTTAAGTTATTTAGTTCATTTGCTAAAATTTCAGACTAAACATGCTTAAATTTTTGTCTTATAGTACGTAATTTTTTAATGAGTTTTTGCTAATGCATGTTGAAGTTATTTAGTTCATTTGCTAAAATTTCAGACTAAACATGCTGAAATTTTTTAGTTCATTTACTAAAACTTCAGACTAAACATGCTTAAGTTTTTGTCTTGCAATATGTAATTTTTTAAAGAGTTTTTGCTAATGCATGCTGAAGTTATTTAGTTCATTTGCTAAAACTTCATACCAAAACATGCTAAAGTTTTGTAACGCAGTCTACAGTTTTGTCCTGAGTTTTATCCGAAACTTCAGTCTAAACAAGCTGAAGTTTTTTAGTTTATTTGCTAAAACTTCAGCCTAAACATGCTTAATTAAGTTTTTGTCCTGCAGTTTGTCAATAGTCTTTTATTAAAGAAGGGCAAAATTATCTTTTTAAAATGCTTTTAACAAAAAAATGGGTACGGATATAAACGGAAAAATAAAACGGATATAAGTTAAAAAGGGACAACCAAATAGGGCGCCCACAAATTTTACGATGCTGGCCTAGGTTACCCAACTGAAAGTTGAGCCCTCGCCAAGTATATAGACTAGGCCCAAAGAAGGGTCAAGAATATGAGTTAAGTGTTCCCATGAATCCAATTTACAACTAAAAGGAAATGGGTTAGGTTCGTCATTTGCTCTTAAATTCTGGGTAAAGCCCAACATAAATCATAGTAGAAGAAAAGTAAGGTTTTCAAATAGAATGCTTTGAGTTGATTTCTTCTCATACATTCAGACTGTGGTGAACGTACGCTGTAATATTTCCACTTAGAAATCATTTCCACACTCTAAATTGATTGGTGCCACGTGTAAACTGAATCTACTGCTATAGCTATGTAAAACACGTTCACGAAGAAAACTATTCTAAGACTCGGTTGTCATAAAACACTCGGAATTTCAAAATATTTTCTTGAAAAATAAGTATTTTTTTAAACTTATTTTTCGATGTTGATTAGATACCAAAAAATATTTTTTAAAAATATATAATTTAGACAAATATTATATGAGACGAAATGGGTAAGATCGAGGAAGGGTAGTACGTTGGGGTCANACATTTTGTTTTAAGACTGTCTTTTATTTGATTTATACTCTTTAATTGTATTTTCGCACGAAAATAACCGACCAAAGTTGGTCGGTTTTATTAAAAAGTAAAATTACCGACCAAAGTTGGTCGATTTTTTTAAATGACCCGCCGAATTAACCGACCAATTTTGGTCGGTTTTTTTAATATTAATTTTTATTTATATTAATTGAAAAACCGACCAAAGTTGGTCGGTTTCTTGAAACATAAATTTTACGGGACTCAAAAATAATTTCCCGTATTTTTGCGTCAAAGAAAACCGACCAAAGTTGGTCGGTTTCGAAAAAAAAAAAAATTATTTTGAAAAACCGACCAACTTTGGTCGGTTTTTTGGTCGGTTTTTTTACCGACCAAAGTTGGTCGGTCGACCTTGGTCGGTTTTTGCCGAATTTCTAGTAGTGTTAGTAGGGAAGTCATTTTCCTTCTATGAAAGGAAAATGAGTTCATAAGGAAATACTTTTCAAAATATAAGCTAACCAGACATAGAAATTTGATAAAATATTTTCCTTCATACTTAATACACCCAAAACCAGTTTTCTTTTTGTCGAGCAATCAATGAATATACATAACAGACCGTTGATCATGTCAAAGCTTAATTAAAATCATTTTTAGTAGACTTAGAAGGCAACTACAAGTTTCTAAATCAAGAGCGTTGATTAGTAATTCAATTTTGCTACTTATAGCAAGGTTTTATCGGCTGATGATCTGATATTCGGATTAGAGTACTAATGTGAATGACGGCTATCATATATTCACATAAAGATTCAAGTGTTCCTTTTCTTTAATCAACTTGATCATTGAGTAGTAGCAATAATAAGTTTGACAACTTCATTAGTACGTCACCTAATGCATGCTAATTGTTGTGTTCAATTAACCTATTGGTTTATCTAGTCTAGTAAGAACGGAGAAAAAAAAGAGTTGGAAAAAACGTGCAGGCCCATATAACTATAAAGAAAAAGGATAACGTGCTTTGCGAATTTCATTCTCGGCCACCATTTTCGCTTGGCAACTACGTATCGACAGTTCGACACCTACCACCCGAGCCGCCGCAGTGGATCTAGGAGTCTGCCACGCCCATATTTGACTGCACTCGTGGCACCCCAAAACGTAAAGGTTCACCGCCAACGCCTAATAAGTCTTTTATACATAATTTTAGTAATAGGAATGTGCGTAGAGAAAGTCCATTAGGATAACAAATTAAATGGAGTAGTAGTATATCATTTCCGGGGTTCAAATTCAAGATACTAGTTAAGAGTTCAAGAGATTGTAACCATTCAACTGAATGGTGATTAATTAGCTAATAAGTATTAAATCATGAGAAATACTTTCAAATGTTGAACATAATTTTATGGAAAAAAATTTATATGTTTGGATAGTAGCATTCAAATACTTTTTCAGTACATACGTGTTCAAATTATAAGTATTTTATTGTTTATGAATATGTCAGTAAAATATTCTTTTCGTTATATTTTATGTGTCTTAATTTGATCGAAACAGTTTCTCTACTCCTCCGAGTAGGGGTAAGGTCTGCGTACACTTTACCCTCCCCAAACCTCACTTGTGAGATTTTACTGGATTGTTGTTGTTGTTGTAATTTGATCGAACATGAAGTGTAAGAATGTAAAAAAACTTTTGAATTATATAGCCTTAAATTAAGTGTATAATTGATATTCCTTCACCAAAAAATTACACAGTGTAGTTAGATAATTTTTTTAACGTATATATACTATATGTTTAAATTTTCTTAACTTTTTGTGTATTTATTTATTTATATTTTGGCTCTCTTTAATAAAAATTCTAGCTATGATATTGTGCATAAGGTAAAAAAGACATTTTAAACGTTATGATTTTAATTATATCATGTCATTTTTAGAAGTTGTGCTATTAACGGTAAAGGAAAAATAAAACACATAAATTAAAACAAAAAAGCATAAACATAGGCGTAAACTATTTGAACAGCTTATATATTATCCAAACGCACTCAATCGTGACTCTCATGCGAATTATGAAAGCACAGCCAAAAAGATTTAAAAAATAATGACACCAAATAAACAGAAAACTTGGAGAAAAAGAAAAAAAGAAAACAAGAAAAGGAGAGAGACAGGTGAAGGGGACTTTCTTGTGGTTGAAAAGAAAAAGAAACAGTAAGTGCGGATCTCCCCTTTAATTTGCATAGTTAGGAGAGCCACATAACCCATACATCTATTAGCTGCAGTTTTTGATACCTATATTGACTCTGTCTCCTACTCTCCCTCCCTCCCATCCTATATATACACATTTCTCTTCTTCCTCACCTTCTTTCTTGGTTCTTAGAATTCAATCCCAGAAACTGAAATCAACAAGCTTTCTTTAATTCCCAGGTAAATTTCTCTGTCAATCTTCCCCTGTTTGAAATCTTGTTTAAACCAAAAGTTTTTTGTTAAATTATATGTAGGATCAATTCTGTTCAAAACCTTCGTTTGCATTCATTCAACTACTTTCTTCAAAGTTCCAATCTTTTTTCTTATGCTATATCAAGAAAGTGAGGAAAAAAATATCAAGAATTTCCTCCCCTGAGTTATGAATCTCCTCTTAGAATTTCGTCATCTCGTTATAGGATGATTACTACTTATCTTGAACTACTTATCATCAATGTGGAAGTGATTTCTTGGAAATTTAGAAAAGTTTATCTCAAATTTCTACTCAATCTTCGCTGTTTAAGAAATTATACCATTGTTTATCTATCTTTTTTTATTTCCACGCGTTTGTATATTACTATTCTTTTTCCAACTTCTTGATTTTCAATTACAATTTTATATAAATATTGATTTTTCTCACATATTGTACCTTTATCTATTTGCATATTACAGAATCGAATTACAGCTTCTAGCTAAGTTAAACGTCAGAGCTTTGAGGATCAGGACATTATGGAGATTTCTGCTTACAAACCCTATGGTGATCCTGAGTTCGAGTCACTCATAGAAAGAATTCACCCTCCCAGGTTCAATGCATTTTCAATACTACCATGTATCTATATGGTTATAACAGTCCTAATAATGTATTGGTTTGTACACCAGTTCAATGAATACATAACATATGTCTTTATATACATAATTATCGCTAAACAATTGTTACTTAAGACACATTATCACTTGAATTTATCACTTAATCATAGTAAATTGAAATAATTTGGTGTAAACACTGAGTACTATGTATGTTTTGTCACCCTTTAATTTGTATAAAAGGGATGCTTATTTGTTTCTTGTTTGTTGGCTTTTCAGAGTGTGCATTGATAATGATTCCTGCCGAGACTGCACTATAGTGAAGGCAAGTGAGGATTAAAGAAGAATCTTTTGCTATTATTCTATGTGCAATCTGTTCCATTTTAATTGGAAATTTCTATCATTGGTTATTCAAAAGGACGATAATACCAATCGATGTATTAGATAATGACTTGGTTTGCGTTGTTTTGGCATGAGTGGGGGTACCTACCAGTTAAATGGATTCCATCAGAGATTCGAAAAGAACTAATTAAAGAACCCCTACCGTACAAGAGTATCAGCGTATAAACCTGCGTTAGCATCATTTAATAGTTGTAATTATTTAAGTTAGGCGATAAGCTTATATATTTTTCTTGCGTTAGTGCTTTAAGATTAATACATGTGCGGATATAGTTGAACAATTTTTTTAATTATTCATTGTCACAGAATAGTACTGAGTACCGGACCCTACTCTAGATTAAGGGGATCCCATAGGTTCTGTCTTACAAGTACTGAGACGTATTTGTTGTTGTTGTCTGTGTATCACAGGTTGATAGTGCGAACAAACACGGTATATTGCTGGAGATGGTTCAAGTTCTGACTGATCTCGACCTTGTGATTTCAAAATCATACATATGCTCTGATGGTGGCTGGTTAATGGATGGTTAGTTCTCCTTTACGCTATGCCTTTCTCACCTCACCAATTGCTTAACCATCTTTCCCACAACAAATCAAGAATGAATCAACAGCTGGTTTGAGTATTATAATCCAATATAGAAATGCAACTAACAACTTTCTGATCCATATCTGAGTCATCCACAACTATAAGATTTGTTTTTTTCTTGCATCTTTACCAGTTTTCCACGTGACTGACCAACTTGGGAACAAAATTACTGACGAAAGCCTCATCCACTACATCGAACAGGTTAGTCTATACTTTCTCTATGCTTCAGTGACTTAAATTAAGTATTCCAAAAAACATTTAGTGGGTTTTAGGGATAAGGCCAACAAAGCAGTTAATTTGCTCAATTTGCCCTCCTCTTGCTCTTTACTCATTTCATTTTTCTTAAAAGAAATTGCCGAGCAAAGAAGTATGCTGGCAACTGTTGTCCAAAAGTATAGTATATGTTTTTTCTTTCAAATTAACATTTAACTAAAACAAGCTTAGTGTTTGACAGGCTATTTGTGCTAGTAGAAGAGGGTCCAGGGAAATCCAAACATGTGTTGATAGAAATGTAAGACCAAGGCATGTTTCAATGGAGCACACGGCTATGGAGATGACGGGGATAGATAGACCCGGACTAATGTCTGAGATATCTGCTGTGCTGGCTGAGTTGGGTTGCCACGTGTCTGCTGCTGTGGCATGGACACATAACAAACGAGCAGCATGCATTGTCTACGTGGAAGATGAACTGAAGCATGGGCCAATCCAGGACCCCTATCGAGTGGCACAAGTACAGGAACAACTGGAGAATGTTGTAGAGGCCCACCATTATGATGGGGAGCGACGGAGTGTGAGGCTCGCAGCACCGGCAGCTAGCCAAACCCATACCGAAAGGAGGCTCCACCAATTGATGGCTGCTGACAGAGACTATGAGCAATGTTGTTCCTGTGGTTACGAGTCGAGTGCAGATGATGAAGTATACAGGCAGAAAAAGGGATGTAATGGTACAGAAGTGAAGGTAGAAAATTGTAGGCAGAAAGGCTACTCCATTGTTACTGTGAGGAGTGTAGACAGACCCAAATTACTATTTGACACTATCTGCACCTTGACAGACTTGCAGTATGTCGTATTCCACGCCTCCATCAGCTCTTTTGAATCCATTGCTGTTCAGGTAAAATCTGTTGCTTTTGCCCAACTGCTCCTTAAAGTCCCTAGAGGTTCTGCGCCAGACAGGACGGTCCTCATGCTTTGTTTCTAACATTTCTATGTATGCATGAAAATCTCAGGAATACTATGTGAGACACAAGAATGGATGGACTCTGGATTCAGAAAGTGAAAGACGTAGACTGACCCAAAATCTGATGGCTGCCACTGAGAGGAGAGTATCCCATGTAAGTTTCAAAGGATTGACTAACACAACATTTACAGTATATTTTCTTAATTCAACTTCCCTACTCCCCTATAACAGAAAGGTACTCACGATTTGAAGTGACTATGATTTGTACAGGGATTGAGGCTGGATGTTAGTACTCAAAACAGGGTAGGATTGTTATCAGACGTTACAAGAGTGTTTCGGGAGAGCGGATTATCCATTAGCAGGGCCGAGATTGGGATACAAGGCGAAAAAGCAGTTGGCACATTCTATGTAAAAGATGCTTCAGGACAAGCTGTTAACCCAGAAACCTTGGAGACAGTACGAAGAGAAATTGGAGGCACTGTCCTGGTGGTAAATAAATCCTTGGGGAGATCAAGTTCTCAACCCACTTCTTCATCAAATACAATCCCTAACATAAGCACTAGCCGCAGCAGCAGCAAGCAAGACAAACCTGGTTTCTCACTAGGGAGCTTGTTGTGGTCTCAGGTTGAGTGGCTTTCTAGCAATTTCAGACCTATAAAATCCTAAGATTCCAACTGGTGCTCCGGAGATGCTTGTCTGTTTTGGCCATCTTATTTGTAAATACATAGCATCATCCCTCTGTAAATAATTAGCAACACTTGTAAATAATGATAGTCACATGATACCATGTACATAGCTTTGCAGCATAAAACAAGTGCAAGTTCTGAAGTTCAACCATTGGTGTCTCTATCAACTGCTCTCTCCCTCTTCTAACAGTTGAGTCAACTCCACCAATTTTCAACAGATTCTGAATTGGTCACTGAAAATGAAGGGAAAGCGACATTTCATTTACCACCTGTCTTAAGCATTCGGACAACTCTAATCAGTGGACTTGACTAACTGGCTCTAACTTAGATGATGCGGAAAGGGTATGTCTTACTAATCGAGGTGACACCTTAACTAAACAAGTGAAGAAGCTCAGACTCATTAAACGACTTTTTATTGATTACACAGGTTAATTAACATTGATTAAGCTTGACAATTAAATTTGGAATTATCTCCTTTGAATTATGCTCATATAGTGAAACAAATAGGAAGACACCATCAGAATTCTGCTAGACACATCATCAACATTTAATATCACAAAAACTATATTGCAAGCCTCGAAGACATCTACTAACAAGGACTAACATGTGTAGTTGATATGCAGCAAGTACACATATAGTTGTAAGTTGTAGGAAAAGAGTATATTGTAAAGAGGTTAATTGTTTTTGTGTCATTCAAAGGGGGATGTCCATTCTGGCTTAATGGAGTATTGTGCAGAAGCACAAACTCAACTTTCTTCTTGTAGTTTTCTCTTGTTATATATATTGCCACCATATGGCAGAATCAATTATAAAAAAAATGCATTAGTGTAATAACGGGAGCAACCCAATTGTTATTCATTATGGTTCTATGTACAAACATATAGTTGAGAATTCTTAGCGCAGAGCGGAGAAAGGAGGATAGGGAACAACTATTCACAACCATAAATAAGCGGAAATAACTATATTTAAACCTTACATAAGGTCATGCCACCTCAATGTCATTAATATCCAGCCAATCATTTGATTCTTTGCTATCAGGATTCTGCACATTTGCCTTAACAGAACCACTCTGATTCACAGAGCTGATATCACTGGAGCTTTTCCTCAACTGGACCCAATCTCGTGAGTCCTTATCAGAACTGTAATTTACTTTCTTTGAATTTGCGGGCACATCTGAATCATCCTCTTCAAGATCGCTGAAGGACACATCTTCATCATTCTCAACGGACATCCCCGTTTTACTGCTACCCATAATTTCTGTACTTTCTTCCTTTAACCAATCATCAGCATCCTCTTCATCACTCTCTTCTAACTTTATAACCGATGCAGATTGCAGTTTTTCATCTTTGCTATTGGTAATAGGTCCTTCAACCACAAGTTTATCAATTGTTTGATTTTCACTAATGACAGGGCGCAAGTCGGCACCAGAGCCGGAAACTGTAGGTGAAGTGGCAGATTCCACACTAGGTATCTCTTGAACCACATCCGCAGAAACAGCAGTGGACGAGACGGCAAGCATCTCCTCATGTTGAGAGCCACTCCTGTCAGTTGATTCAGAAGTTTCCTTCTTTGACCAATCTTCTTCTATTGGCTTGGTTCGCTTATGTAACTCGTGTGCCAATGAGGCCCTGGCTCTGACAACCTACACACAGGATTAGCATTTTTAGCACCAACGGTTAACAGCAACCATTCTCGAGCACGAGGAATAAAGGATTAGTTACACGCTCTGATCATTTGCTAAGTAACCGAGCATGACCAGTCATTCTGCTTCAGTTTGGATTTTAAAAAAAAAAAAAAGTTTCAGTACTGGATTCTTTTGTTAAAAATTAAGTTCAGTATTGGATTCATGCTCATTATATAGATTGACAGGTTATTGTCTCCCTCCCTGCTCATTCACAAGCACACTACTGAATAATACACGTTTACGGTATAAATTAGGGGGTCCAGGGGGGTAACAAGAAGCCCAAGGAAAATCATAGGATGCTCACCAGAAAAATTTGAACCAAAAGTAATGCATTAAAGAAGTACAACCTTGAAGCATTCAACAGTCAAAGAGATGAAAGGATAGAGCAGGAGAATTTCCAAGAAGCAACATAAGCAGCAAAACAAAAAAGGAGAGGAAAGATTCATGGTGAAAAGACAGGTAGGAAGATGTTTCGACTAGCGCCCATGAATGGCCACAATGGCTTCACATGTACAGTAGTGAAGGCCCAAGAATAGTAGTGCATCAAAAATAGGATAAAGAATAATCTCAAAGCTCTGATGGCTTGTTCAAATGGAGATGCAATTGGAATTTGGAACAGTAAAAGGAAGTGCAGATTGCGTGCTGCAGAAATACTAGCATCGGTTTAACGAGAAATAAGCTAAAAAGCTTCTCACTGGGAAAAGGCTATTCTGACCCATACACATCAGTATAACAACTTCCATGTATCCCCCCCAAAAAGAAATCACTTCTCTACAAGAGTTGTTTACCTAGAATCAAAAGAGGCCAGGAATTTCTATAAACCCCATAATTAACCATGATATGTGGTGTTCTCTTAAATCACAGATTAACTTTTTCTGTTTAGGATAGTCCCAACTGTGTCTATTACCTCACAACGATACATTTCCCTATGCTCCTTAAGACTTATTCAGCATTCTGTTACAAATAGTAACGCAAGAGCTACATTATAGTAAGAGTTGTGCACATCTTAGTCCCACTTCTACTATAAAAATTTCAATACTTATTTCACAACCAGCACAGATAAAAGATGACCTTAAATGGGGATGGTATGATTGAACTGCCGACCTTATCAAAGAGAAGAAAACAAAAATTTAACTACTGAACTCCGAAAAAGAAGGATTTATCTAGCGACGTCCGTAAATTAAATCATAATCAGCCTGTCTCCAGGTCCAACACCAATTCCATTAATCTACATTCTACTCATACGGAACCATAGTAGACAGTGTCAATTGGTGTCATAAGCCAACTAGTCATAGATGGTAAGTTATGCATGGAATAGCTTCTATTACCTTTGCAGATAAATATTGTTTTTCTTGGTAAAAGGGAAAAAAAAAGCATCACTTCAAGTGCTAAATAGAACAGAAATGAGAAATGGAACCATTACTGGCATAACGTGAAGTGCCTTACCTGGGGTGTGGATAAAAGTTCAGCATCTTGTTTATCCAATCTAGGGTGAAGAAGAACAAAGTAAATCTCCCAAAAGCGAGCCTCACTCATGTAACCTGGGCAGAGCTCAATCCTCAAAGCAGCCAGTCTTGGAGCAAGACGTTCAACAGCTAATGCATGCTCTTGTTGTGCATCAGACAAGTCAAAATCTACTGTAAAGGGAAAAACCATAAGATAATTGATGTGAGCTAATTGCTTAATATTCCCTATAAGTTTACACAACGCAAAGTATACATTACACAAAACTACACTAGGAGTAGTGATAGCCACGTACGTGGAAAATAGTTATTTCCGTGCATAATAACCACTAGTTTATGTATTAAGGGCTTCAAAATTAGCCAGCAAACTACGGAAGCAGAAAACATGCAATTAGCGTATTTAAGAGAATGAATGTATAATATTTATTTGACTAGTAGGGTAAGAATGTGTAACAGTATGATATATGAAAGAATGGTAAACAATTTGAAAGATTGATCCAAAAGTAGCAGAACATAGTAATTGGTGTCATCGACTGACATAAAAACGTTAAGTTATCTGTTGAGTGTTAAGACTAACCACTCATGTAAATACGCAGAAAAACTACCTCTTCAAGTCCTAGATAAGAAAATGAAAGTGAGAAAGAGAGTCAGCATATATAATTACATGTCACGATTATAATGGGAGTATTAATAAAAGTTCAGCGCCTTGTTTAGGGTGAATAAGTACAGATATGATCTAAATCATTGATAAATATAAGGGCAGTGATGCAAACATCCAAAGGTTAACGATTCATCATGAAATGCACATAAATAAGCATTTCACTGTTTGACTGCTGGACATGCAAAAGATATCTGTGCACAACGCTTGCAACTTTTAACCCTCTATTTTCAAGTAATCAAACAGGCATTGCACTTTTTACCCCTATTCAAGTTTCTTTTTTCTTTCTAATTCCATTAAGGACTTGATTCCACAAAATTTTCATTTGCTAGGACAATGTTTTACCACTAACCAAGAAGGAGTTTCAACCTCTCTGATCCCCTAGTTCAAATTTGAAATACCAAATTATCATACAGTACCACATCAATTAACAATCTCTTAGACTATGCTTGAGTTTGCAAAACCAACATATATATCAGGAACAGATCAGGACAGCAGTTTTGGAACCCCAGTACACGGGATCCTGCATTAATCGAATTGAAACCTCAATAAAGCTTCCATCTTTTCTATCTTTCCTGTTGATACCTAGTAATTGGAGTGTTTCAGTTTAAGGCCAGTGTGAATTGATGGGTGATCTTTCGCAAGCTACAAGTGTAAAATAGTACTTAGTATATTCAACCTTTGACATCCGCTTTTTATTCGACAGTTCAATTTCATATCATATTCGGCTAAGANAAGAGTAGCACTAGACGGTTTGATCTAGAGCATTGTAGTGAGTATTAAAACGCAGCGAAAGTATCAAAGGGCAGGTTCAAGTAGAAAATGAAAAAGGGAAAAGACACCTTCGTCATCATCGTCGTCGAGCAAAGGGAAATCCAACCAAGTTTCAGGATGCATAGCAATGTCCCTCACAAAAGCTACTACTTCCTCAGTAACACCTACTGCACCTCTACCTTCTTCTTCCTCCTCCTCTGGTCCCAGTTGCAGTAAGTTGGACGCCATTTTGGTAATTTCGGAGACAGGAATATTCTTCGACAGCTTAGATATTCCAGTCTTGAATCTGCCGCCAATTTCAGCAATATCGCTCCGCAAACCCGCGATCCCTGCCGGGTCGGATTCCTCGTTATCCGAATTACGATTCGGTTCTGAATTCGGATCCTCTAAAGGTTTGTAGGGCTCAGATTGAGGCGGTGGGGCCAGAAACGAAGCCACTCCCCAGAATTGACGGGTTAGGGTTTTGGTCAGCTCTGAGATGTCCTCCTTGACGCCGCGTGATGGTGAATCATCATCTGTTTGTTGC